GTGTGTGTGTGTGTGTGTGTGTGTGTGTGTGTGTGTGTGTATATGCCCTGATGCTTGAATGCAAATATTTAACTGAATCAACTGAATTTGTGAATGTTGTGTATTTATCATTTTAATTTTCGCAGTATGATTAATGAGAGGGCCGTACTGTGAATGAAACGCCCGCTAAAAGCTGTATCTCCGTTTCAGACTTGCAGTTCTCGGGAAGTTGAATAACTTTGTGAAAGAATGGATCGCAGAGATCAGTGAATTAAAGGTGGGTTGTGTTGAACGGTCATTAATGGTGGTTATCTAATCAGATGCTATGTGGTGTTGTGCCATACGGAGTAAAAACCTACTGATTTCACTGTATATTCACTTGTCTCCCCTTCAGAACCTCCCACCATCGGCTATAAGCTGCGTCGGGGGCAAGATATTTACATTTGGTTCGTACAGACTTGGAGTGCACACAAAAGGTATGTTGAGTCATTGCAGTGACATCAAATCAACTTCAAACATTGACACCGTCCCATGTACTGTGTGCTTGGCTCATATCCGCATTGAAAAGGACCAGAGAGGTATCTGAACATTTCTACGACACTGCACTCGACCCCGTCTAAGCGGGCCTATCTCGTTGTTTTTGAAAAGCACAGGTCAGCCTGACTACACGAAAGCACAAGGCTGGCATTGTCGCGTTCCCCTGCTTTTGAGTCTTTTTGAAAAGACTAGTTTTGAGGTCTGAAAGCTGTGTAAACATTGGCCTGCTATAGACTGGAGTGTTGGTGTGAATGCAGTCGGAGACAACAAATGAGACGATGAAAATTAGTTAAAAAGTACAATACATGCATAGCAGAAAAATGCATTGCTATGTTTTCTTTTGTATTTGTTGTGCAACAAAATTATTGTAAATTTAAGTATTTAAAAAAAAAAAAAAAAATCATACAGTTTTTACATGACTCTGAATTAGTACGGATGTTCCAAGCTAATCTGTAAAATTGATAATGGTGCTCGTGGTGATTCTTTTTTCTTCATTGATTGGTATCAGCTATATGTCACCGGGTGAATATTCAGTGCTTTGTGTTTACCAACCTGTTGCGCTTCTGGATAAATCCAATGTTAAAATGTTATGAGAAAGAAGCATGTCCCAATAGAGTGTCATATTAATAATTCCGGTTAGCTCGTCTCAAAGTGGATGGATAATTTTGATTTTGGTTTTTAAACTCATCGTTTTGCTACGTTTACACTTGGCGTCTACACTACTCCAGAGTTTGAACCCCCCCCCCCCCCAAAAGATGGAGGGGTTTGGAAACGCTACAGACGCTGTGTTCATTTGAAATCTCCGGGGTTGACTCGTAGTGAGGGCGGAAATGCAGACCTTTTGAAAACGATGACGTAGACACTGTTTATACTATCAGCTGTTACTACTGCCTACATGTGGAGGAAGCAGCTGTTATTATAGAGATTAGCGAGTGGCATTGTCCGCCCTACAGAGCGGACGGTTTAAGTCACGGTTTGCAGCTTTGAGGAGGGTGATGGATACAAAACGGAGGACTTTCCTTTTCTTATTAATGCTTATTTTGTTCTGCACAACTATTGTGAAGTCCTCAAAGAAAATATAAATGAACAGTAGCATAAATGCCCTCCAGTGCAACAGGGACTTACAGCCGCCCAAAGTTTGAAAACTACAACTTTTTTGAGTCTGAGTGTATATGGAGGTAGATCTTAAGTATCAAGCACAACCTTTTATTATTATTAAAGAGAACAATAATACTCACCGGCACCCGCATGCCCGGTGTTTGTGAATAGTCTTAATCGTTTAGTGATGTTCGTTTTCAGGCGTGCTCGTATGGATGGAAATCGTTTAGACAACGGTGCTGTAGATTGTTTTCCCTTTAAAACCCGGTTTTAAACAGAACCGTATGAGTGTGGATGTAGACTTGGACTACAAAAAGTAATCGCAGCAACTAGTCCGCCTTTACTCACTCATGTGACCGTGGTGTAGTTTGTTAGCTTTTAAGTTCCTCTTTTACCGATTGCATTCCCACTTCAAAAATCATAAAAGTGCTGTTCATTTGTGAAGATTATCTTGCCCAACAAAATGTGTAATTATTTAAAACTTGTGTTTGCCACAGAGCTTATGCTCTGCATTAATCCAGAAGCTAATGCAAAAATCCCATTTGGCTTTTTGTTGTGCGACGCTAACTTCCGGGGTTAGCGGAGTTAGTTAGGGTTCACTGGAGTTCTGATGAGTGACTGGTGAGTGTTCAGAAGAAAGGACGATCTAAACCGTGAACAGTTTACAGGCTGCGACTGTACAAAGCCAGGTCAGGTATTATCAGTTGGACAGTCGCCAAAGACAATTGTGAAAAGTATCGGCTCTACTTGATTATCGTGATGTTTTATTCCATGAACTCTCTTAAGCCTTGAACACAGCAATTTATCAGATTATCATTGAAGTTGTTGCCCATGGTTGTTGACCCAGAACGCGCTGCTAAAAGTGAAACTGTTTCTTCCAGGAGCTGATATCGATGCCTTGTGTGTGGCCCCACGCCACGTAGAGAGAAGTGACTTTTTCTCGTCTTTCTTTGAGAAATTCAAACAGCACGAAGAGATCAAAGACCTGAGGGTAAGTGTCAGTAAAGAAAGGCCCCGTTTGAAAGATCGGTCGGTCAAATCAAAACGATGCAAGACCACTTGCGTCACTGCTCCTGGGTGAGAAGTCATTGTTTAGGCGAGCTGAGGTTACTGTTTTGGGAAGTAGAGCAATAACACGGCTGAAGTATTTTTTGCTGAATAGATAGCGGAGTTCTAATGAAGTAACTCTCAGCAGAGAGCAATACCCACGAGCATTGCCCGTGTTGTTGTCAAGTCTGCTGTTTTAATTTTAATTTCCCACGGTGTGTGTCTTTATTAACATCAATATACATGATGGAACAAGTCTGTTCCCCCCTTTAGGTTATGTTTGTTTTGACACTAAATTATATTTAAATAGAATTATCAAATTAGCTGCTATTTGTTGAAGTGTATACTTCTTGTGAGTAAATCTAGTCTTGCAGATGTTTTCCAAAAAGGCATAGAGGTGGTGCACTTTGATTGGAAGGTAAATGTTACTGAGAGGACCCCTGTGTTAATTGAGTATTGTAAGAGGATGCTTTGGTTCAATATTAAAAGCCTGCTCTCTGAAGACATCCATAGCTCAAGTAATCTGTAATCGGCTGTCTGCAGATACTTTAATATCGCTGTAGATGACATTCTGAAGGAGTCTCTGACGAAATGTCAAATACACAAATGGATTGAAGCCGAATATGTCTTTGGACAAGACATGTTGTGAGTTTTGGAAACTATTACAGCCATCAGTTTTCAATACCTTGTGACTTTTGGAGTAGATGGTGCAGAGTTATTGTTATGTTTTAGACTAAACAAGCCACCGCTGCAAATAGCATAATAATAATAATAGTGTAGCTGGATTTTCTACAACTGGCCAGAAATGCCAGGTTTAATTTGAATTAATAGACATTCAAAAATGTTCTGAACGAAGCTTTAAACTATTTTGTGCAGCTCTAGACTTTCACCTCTTTTTCGTCATGATGTGAGCGAGCTATGTGACTTCGCCTCCTCTTAGATGTGTTGCTGATATTGTCTCTTTTTGGTGCTTTCTCAAGGCTGTGGAGGATGCCTTCGTACCGGTGATAAAATTCAAATTTGACGGAATAGAGGTAAGTACCTTTGAGATCCAAGTGATGCGTGTTGTCTACATATAGGGCTATTCAATAACTAAAGGACAAAGGTGTTGTAGTATAGACATTGTTAAAACTGTCACCATATCAGATTTTTACTACACATTTATCATTGCCAAAATATTAACAATATCTGTTACAATATTTATAGAAAATAAAAATAAAAACATGCAGTCAGCCAAATTCATTTTTAACTGTCTTTTGTGCATTTTGTTCTTTTTTTGGGTAAATTCATTGCACTTCAAATACAAATGTGAGTGAGTGGGCAGAGTGTCTCCAACCATAGCAGTGTATATAAAATGATTTAAGAGGCACTGGATTATTTACACAATATTGTCATGTGTATTGTTAATATATCAGTATTTCGTTTTTAAATATTACAGTTAAATACCGTTATATCGCGACACCTAACTGATCGTAAGGATTACTTCTGTTCAGCTGTCGCTGAATAGCTTTGCAAAGAATGATGGTTTTGATCCGACTTTAAACAAAAAAATGAGTCCAGATTAAAACAGGTTTTTCTCAGGCCGAGGTCGGAACTTCATGACACATGTTGGTGGTCCAGTTTGTAGTTCAGGTCCATGAAAAGGTTCACTAAAGAGCAGGAAAGAATATATAAAAGAGCATCATCATAACTACTGTTCCTGTGTCTGCCTAAATAAGAAACCTCGGTACTTGTAGTTTGCATTCCTTGATTAAAAAGTCCTTTTAAAAGCTCCTCATACTGAGCCGTACTGCGGTGCACCTGCTGGCCATTCCCAGACAGCTCACTTGTACTCATCGGTTCTTCCCTTGTTTTTCTGTCTCCGTCTGAGCAGATTGACCTGCTTTTTGCCAGACTGGCCTTACAGTCCATTCCAGACAACTTGGACCTGAGGGGAGACTCTATCCTGAGAAACCTGGACATTCGGTGTATCCGCAGCCTTAACGGTACGCTGCGTGACCTTTACCGGCTTGTATGAGAGCCACTTGAATCTTAAACCCTCTCTTACTGGAGATCGTCGCCTTAAGTTTAATAGTGAAACGCTTTTCTCGCAGCGCTTTAGGTTTCTGATGTTTTGTCTCTCAGGTTGTCGAGTGACTGATGAAATTCTGTACCTGGTGCCAAACAAAGAAAACTTCAGACTCACATTGAGAGCCATCAAACTGTGGGCGAAACGTAAGTGGATTCAAATCTTCTTCAGAGTGCTGCACCCTTTTTTGCGGCTGCTCCGAGAGTAGAAGCTTGTTTTGTCCACGTCTGTCTATCCTGAGCTTTATACGTCACACAGACACCATCAAAACTAGGGATGGGTATCGTTAGGATGTTATCGATACTGCTTCGGTTCCTTATCGATACTCTTATCGGTTCTTGATCATTATTATCTTGAAGACAATTAAGGAAAGAATCAACATTGCTTTATTATTCTTGTACGTAAACAAAAAGTTCCACAATCTTTAAAATACATTCGCAGCTAAACAATTATCTCCGAGATTAGCTTTCATTTATTGACCTCCTCTTCTTAGCTAACGTTAGCTGCAGTGGACGAGGATGCACGGCTGCTCGCCAAACAGTAGATTTCTGTTCTGCTTATTTGCCAAATGTTTTGATAATGTGCTGGTCTTACTTTGTTGTTTTTTTGCATTTGTGACAACGAGAGTTCTCAGCATCTACTGGAGTAAAATGTATCAACACTTTGGATGTTTTTGTTCTGTGTGTGTGTGTGTGTGTGTGTGTGTGTGGCGTGACTCGGCTCCTTGTGCAACGACGGGCACAGAGACGGAGAGAGGAGCTTTAAGACGCTGCTGTTACGGATAGCAGTCCGGACCTTATCAGCAATCCGGATTTTACTCATTTAGAACCGGTTCCCGTTTAGAACCGGTTTCGGGGAACATCCCTAACGTCCCTAGAGCCCGTTTGTGGGAGCAGATCGGCCAGCTGGACACAGATAATAGCTTGTGAGTGCTTTTATCGCCGTATGCGTCGTCTCTACGAAGGATCGTGTTCCTGATGCACGGCTGTCGGGTCGAGCGTTGACATGCTCATCAATACTAAGTGTGAAGTCAAGCGTCCTCTGGTTGGTGCTCATGAAGAAGAAACGATGTCAAACTAATGTATAGTAGGCCAGACAGATGCTGACGGGGCCGATGCTAGTCCATCATACAGCGGTGGTTAGAGTGGTGATAATGTTGCCATAGAAACAATTTTTAAAGAGCTTTTCTGATGGAGTGCTCTCCATCATCCAGCGGCGTAAAAAGATGCTTTGTGGCTGATTTTACAGCATCCTTGTGTCATATTCAGAAGTAATATATAAAAAGTAACGCTACCAAATTATACCACGGGGTTACTCGCGTCCTGCAGGTGTCCTCTCAGTCTAGTGCTGCTCATATCTTACTGTAACGTGCTCCTCCTGCAGGCCGTGGGATCTACTCCAACATGCTGGGCTTCCTGGGTGGAGTGTCTTGGGCCATGCTGGTGGCCAGGACCTGCCAGCTCTACCCCAACGCCGTGGCCGCCACGCTGGTCCACAAGTTCTTCCTGGTGTTTTCCAAATGGTGAGCGTTTAGCTTAGCTCCTGCAGCGTCATATTGATCCTGTTCCACATGATGGCAGTATTTCACTGCCTCGTGTGAAGCCAGTTCACACATTTTAGTACGGTTTGTCTCTTCCGTCCTACAGGGAGTGGCCGAATCCTGTGCTCTTGAAACAGCCCGAGGACAGTAATCTGAATTTACCTGTGTGGGATCCCAGAGTGAGTATGACACCAGTGGTTCATTCCCACATGTTAATGTTATGTGTAGACACAGGAAACACCATTTGCACAGAGTTGATCTGCTAAATTGTGTTTGTGAGGTTTTTTTTTTTTTTTTTTTGTTTGTTTTTAAATTAAGCTCACTAGATAAGAGTATAGGTACATTTGTCTTTCTCCTATTTCATGTCTCCTCATTCCTCTTGTCCTCGCATGACCTGGAACATTTGGGGTCTTCTATCTTGAGTTCATATGCTCTTACCTCTGCTCGGAGGAGGCTTCCCCAGAGCATCTTGGAGCAAGGAAGGCTTCCCACGTGGACGTCCTTTTTGTTTTCTCTTTTTTTTTTTTTTAATCAGACAGACTTGCCCCTTTAGTAAAAATGCTATTAAAGTGCAAAACAGAGCTGACATTTGTGTTTAAATCCCATATTTACATCACCACAGTCAAACACTGCAGTAAGTATTTAAGGACACCTCTCCACACTCTTGCAGGTTTTCTTATGAATATTCTTTCTTTGGCCAGGGGCTTTTACTGTTTTTCATAATAATACCATAAATCTATTTACCACAGACTAATTAGTCTTTAGCCTGAAGTGAAAAACCAACTTTCTAGCTGCTGTAAACTGCTGTGTCATGTCTGTTGTGTCCCTTCAGCAATAAACACATTTAAATTATCTCCTGGTGTCATTTTCGTTCAGTCACAGCACGGCCAACAGAAGCCGTGCGTTGGGTCTGAAGTATAGCGATAGATTCAGTTTCAGAAGATTTCCTGAATGTTCAGGCTACTTTATAGTATTTCTGTTTTCTATGAGACATGCTCATCATAATCCAAATGTAGAGCTGAAACTAATGATTACATGCACAGAATGTACTCTGGTGTTCGGAGTACTGTCTGTATTTTCACACCAAAGGTAGTGAGGTATTCTCACATAACTCCTCCCCTTTTGTAACACTTCAGACATGGACAAAGTCATAGACTGGCTGACACACAATGTAAAACAGATGAACTAAACATGTGCAATATACTTGGACATTAAATTGTGTTTCGACTGATCTGGACACCATTTAAATGCGGCCTTGCATGTGTTGTCCAGCAGCTGATATTTCGGCTCAATGTGCACATGTAATATTTCTTTTACATTGGAGAATGTTAAACTGCAATAGCTAAAATGATTAGCACACACAAAAGATGCTAAAGCTCTGTCATGGCTCACAGAAAGGTGATCCAGCCTTCATCAGCAACTGCCAAGTCCCTTCACATGAAGATTTAGAGGAGCACGTCTCATTTCACATTTTGTTTCCTTCACTTCTCCTCCTCCGCATCACTTGAGGAAACAATGCAGATGAGGGAAAGTGGGTTGGGATGTACAGTGTGTGTTGTGAGCCCTCTGGTTTCATGTGGGCGCGGGGAGTTGCCCGACACAAAGTTTGGCCGGTTGAGTTTGCTGGTGAAGGCTCTCATTTCTGTCGTGGTCCCTCTGCCGTGTTTGTTTTTATTTCCTTTTAGGTAAACCCATCCGACAGATACCACCTGATGCCCATCATCACCCCCGCCTACCCCCAGCAGAACTCCACGTACAACGTCTCCACGTCAACGCGCACCATCATGAGCGAGGAGTTCAAATACGGTAAATAAAGACATGGCATGAAATGAAATATCTGTCCACCTGCTTCCTGGTCATACCTAGCTTATCAACAGGCTATGGTAACTTTTGCATTTTTCAAAAGTGTCAAAACTTTGAAGTGTAATTCCTCAGCCTGCTAACGTCTTTGTCCCATGTGTCTGGCATGAACAGGCCTCAGCGTCACAGATGAGATTCTTCAGGGAAAGACAGAATGGTCCAAACTCTTTGAGCCGCCCAACTTTTTCCAAAAGTACAAGTAGGTGTTGCCCGCCGGTCTCGATCCTTTGTGTTCCGTGGTTTTGAAAGTCAGTCGGTATCATGTTAAGTTATGGGGACATGAGATTGCATTTGTGCAGTTGAAACTAAAACCGGATGATGCAAGTTTCAGACCAACTAATTGTTTTCCTTTTTTTGGGGGGTTTGGGCACATTTGACTCATCCTTACTGTGGTCAGTGGAGTTTGGTCGACTCATTGTTTGTGAAAGTTCCTCCCACACAAGCACCTCAACTGACTTCATCTGCCGTGTTCTGTTGGTGGTGCTGCTGCTTCATCATTGGAGTCGCACTACCTGAGCACCGGTGTGACTGGTTGAAGAGAATGTTCCTCTGTGTAGCACATTGAATTCAAGAGTGTTGAGGATCGAAACACTGCCCAGCTTCTTCATCTGATTTTCTGCTCTGTGCTGCAGGCATTACATCGTTCTGACCGCCAGCGCTTCCACAGAAGAAAACCACTTAGAATGGTAAGAGTCTGTAAAGAGTGAAACTCTACTGCAATAGATAGACTTGTATTACCAGTGACTCTGTGAAAACACCTGCTGATGTTTTTTCTCCCTCAGGATCGGCCTGGTGGAGTCAAAGATCCGCGTTCTGGTGGGAAACCTGGAGAGGAATGAGTACATCACCCTGGCTCACGTCAACCCACAGTCCTTCCCCGGGTCCAAAGAGAACCGCAACGAGTGAGTTCACCTTTATCCATTTGAACAGCTCGGTGGTAGAGGGCAACTCCTGCTAATCAATCAAACCTTTTCTAGGTTTTGTTGTTTGTCGTCGAGAACTCGGAACATGTTGCCCGTTGACATGTGTTAATGCTGATAGTGCAAGTCAGTGAGTCATGACGTCATTGTTTGCGTATGTCTTGTCATTGAGTATTAGGCAGACACATGGCACTAGTTTAAAATGTGGCGTGGCTTCACACCAGCATGTTCATTGTGTCGCTGTCTGCACTTTAACACTCTAAACAGACACTGTCAGTCCTGCTGTGTGTTTAGCTCCGTTAGCTGTTAGCTCTTTAAGTCAAACACAGCGCCGGACTTCCACCGGATGCTAACCGCTAACTAGCTCTCCTCCCGACCGACAAGTGATATACATTACTCTTCTACCCTAGACTGTAGCCGCAACATTCAGGAAAGTTTTTAGCAGGCTGCCGCTGCTGTTGATTGGCTGGCAATTTAATTTAGGAAACGCTTGATTGATGTGCAGCAGAGTTTTCTATGAGCGGTGCTTTTTAACCATCAATATTGTACATGGTGATGTTCATTGTTTTCACGTGGCTCCTTGTGTGTTTCTGTGACAGGAACGACTTTGTGTGCATGTGGTTCATTGGGATCATCTTCAAGAAAGTGGAGAACGCGGAGAGTGTGAACATTGACCTGACGTACGACATCCAGTCCTTCACAGACACTGGTAGGTCATATCTCTCTCTAGTCAGAACATTTAAGATGAAATGGGCTGCAGGACATGTACTATTCTACTATATACTACGAGTATATGAAGTGGCTAAAAGGCAGGCTCATTTGTTTTACCGCCTTTGAAATAAATGCAGAAAAAAAGCTTTTTCTCTTACATTTTTTAAAGAAAATATGAGAAAATACACTTGACTTTTTCCAATATGTCCAACCTTTTTTATTATGAATAGCATAGATATTTCTTAATCTACTCCTAGCTGCTATTAATAATGTGAGAGGCAACCTGCAGGAGCCTAAGTCATGAAATGGCCTCAAAACATGAGGTTAAATTCATACAGTGGCAGCTTTATAAATGCACAAGTATATCAAAACATTGCCGAACTCACTTGAAAATAATGAATCGGTAAACTCAAATGTTAAACGTTCCAAAGAATCCAAACCATGCGGCAGCCACTTGGTCTCTGCCTAGAAGAAAGTCAAACCTGTTTCTATGTATTCGTGTCTGTCGTCGATGATCTGAACACGTCACGTTGTTCCCTGCAGTGTACAGACAAGCCAACAACATCAACATGCTGAAGGACGGGATGAAGATCGAAGCGACACACGTGAAGAAGAAACAGCTCCATCAGTACCTTCCTCCTGAGCTGGTGCAGAAGAAGAAGAGGGTGAGACGTCATCCCGCGCATGTCGGGACCAAAGCCTGAATACATTTTTGAAACATTTCTATGGTTATTGACTTAATGCGTTTCTTCTTTTATTGTATCTCACTGCGTTTCTTTCCCCCGCAGAGCATAGCGGAGTTGAACCGCAGCTCCAACGGGGGGAGCTCCAAGCGGCTCTCTCTGGACAGCAGTCACCTGGACAGCTCCAGAGACACGGACTCAGGGACTCCCTTTACCTCCCCATCCAGCAAACCCACTAAGCCCGCGTCCGACACAGAGGACAGGTGTGATTCACACCAAATGCATTTTAATGTTGTTACTGTCAAATGCAGATGTTCTATGCTAATGCAGATCCTTTTTTTGCCAGATATTATTACTATTTACAACAGGTTCAAATCCACAATGTGATGCTGAGTGAATGTTTGTGTTGTGTATTTTGCAGCATCAGCCCTCCCAAGCAGATTTTTACAGAGGGCTCCCCAGCAGCCAGCGCTACAGCAGCTACAGCAGCTACAGCAGCTACAGACCAGGGCATGTCCATCCCTGTCATTGGCTCCAGTGAGTTGATTTTCCAGTGACCATTACACACTCTGGGATAGGCTGTTAAACATTTTAATATTTACATAAAGAGTCGTATGACATAATGTCTCTTTTGTTATATGGGACATTACATCAGAAACTCTTCAAATCTAGAGAATATCAATGAACAAACGGCTATGCCGAGTTGAAAGCATGTCCCTTAAATGGATGTCAAAAGACAAATAAACCAGATCCGATTTCTTCTCGTTTCGTCCCCCTCTGATCCTGAAGAGCCCGTGGTCAAAGCCAAACCCGCCTCCCCGCCGGCCAGCAGCTCCGTCGCCATGGGGCCGGCCGGCGACGCGCAGCCCAACGCCGCCTGCAGCCCCCGAGAGGAGCCCAACGGCCTGGAGGACCCGGTCAACGGCGCTCCTGCCAAGAGACCGCACTCGCCCACACAGGAGGACCTGGCCAAGAGGCACAAAGAGACGGAGGTGAGGAGACCCGGAGTGTGTGTGTGTGTGTGTGTGTGTGTGTGTGTGTGTGTGTGTGTGTGAGAATATATGTATTTGGTGTTTGGTATAAAAACAGCAGATTAAATTACTGACAATTATTTTGCTGCAGGTGGTGTCAAATGATGACTCTGCATTTAAAGAGCCATTTCCACCGTCCTCTGACTCCTGCACACATGGAGAAGAACCCAGTGCTGTAGGTGTTACTTACCCCGGCTGCTTTTAGTGACCGTGTACAGACAGACGAAGCAAGATTAACCTTTGCACATTTTTCCTCTCTCCACCGTTAGACCCCACTGCCTGGATCAAAGGCTAAGCCCATTCCAACCATCGATACCTCAAGAACACAGGTAACGTCTTCTCTCTACGTGGTGGACTTGGGTTCTGTTGAGCAGAAAAAAAGAGAAAATGATATAAATGGAAAGTCTTCATGGAGTCTCCAAGAAACTTGCATCTAATCTATAAAGGACAATATCTGGGTCATATGCACACCATCTCTAAACTTTGTTAGCCACTTTTAAATTATATCAAGCCATTACATTGTTCCACAGCTTAAGTGGCACACGGATCCATGGATTTCCTAAATGAATTATATTAAATCGATCTATAACGTTGCTTTCTCCTTCCTCAGAGACTTCCCAGCATGGAGCTGCCAGACGCCTCCTCGCCTCTACCGGCCAGCAACAGCTGCCGCGTCGTGAAGAATTCCATTAAACTGGCCCTCAACCGCCACAAGTGAGCCCTCAACTAGTTTCCCAGAGACGGTTGTTGTGAATGTTTGTTTTTTTACTTTCTAATGTTTTAATTTTGTATTTCTTTGCCCGTCTGTTTTTCATTGAATTTATAGCATCACACCTCCCAAGCCCCCAGTGTTTGAGGGCACCGTCACCACCGACGCTCCTCCTGCCAGCGAAGAGAAGGGCATGTCCATCCCAGTCATCGGCTCAAGTACGTGCTGAGTCGCTTTTTATTCACTCAATCACTTCTGGTAATTCATCACACTTTTGTTAAGTGAAACCATGACAAATATTTGTTAACAAGCTATTTTTCTCCGAGATGAAACAAGTCTTAAAAACTAATTGTTGACGACCTTTTTTTTTTCTGTGAGCACAAACGAGACAAAAATTTACCATTCGCATACCATTAACCTGCATCCGGTGTAAAGTTAGTTACTTTCAGTTAGCTGTTTTTTGTTTTTCTAGGCTTTTGTTAGGAATGAGTGCAAGATTAAAGCATTAAGACATTCTAGCTGCTTGTCTAAAGTTAAGCTGAGACAGTGAGCAGTATTTGAGTCAATTAGTCTCAAGAACGTCACAACAAAGACGGAGAAAGAAAAAGCGACAGAAATGAGACTAAAATGTGACTGACATAAAACTAACATACATTTTTGTCAAAACATAGGGGTGCACCGACACATTTGGGTGCTTGCTGGTACCGAGTACTTAATCGTACAATTACAGTTCTAATAATGACTTTGAAAATGTTTGATTTTCATCAGATGTTCCTCACGCTCCGACTATAACAAACTAAATGTACAACACCATGCTGTCGCTGACATGTTAACACTCAACACTGTTTTCCTGACACAAACGGAGCATAGTTTGCAGTATGGGTAATAATAATAAACTGTTCAAATATTGAAAATTAAACTAGTTGATCCACCTTAAAGGTCAGCCCACCTTAAGTGTTCCTGAGCCCTTTGATGTCGTTAGCTTCGGGGCTAGCCCCATTCACTTTAATCATCAGGTAGCAAACAAGAGCCTAGCACTTGGCTCGCTCAACCAGACGCTCGCTAACTTTACGGCGGGTTTGCAAGATAACCACTATTTTTGTCCCTCTTTCTTCCCGTAGAACACGTGGCCTCCAAACAGGCGGCGCCCCCCGTCGGCAGCTCCATCCCCACGTTGGTGAGCCGAGGGGCCGACCCGCTGAACGGAGCGACTGCCAAGAGAGCCCACTCCCCCTCTCTGGAGGAGCAGGCCAAAAGGCTGAAAGAAACAGAAAAGGCCAGAATCCACATAGCTTGAACACACAAACACAGACTCTGATTTATACATGCGTAGAGTTGGGGGCTTCACAGTAACGTCAAAAACACCAGAGGAGACGACTTTGGGGCGGGGGGGTGGGGTGGGTGTTTCAGGTCGGTCTGTCTCAAGTGTGAAGCAGCAGGATGGATAACCTCACCCTCAAATCTTTAGAGTACAGATTTGCCAGTGGATAGGTGATGTTGTGAGGCGCTCTCTGTCACACTCGCAGCCAGAGGGCTTTGAACACAACAGTCACGGAGATATCCGACACCAGAACTAATCGTTATTTTTTTTTTACTCTTCTTCTCCCTCGGTGTTTAAAAGTGTACACAGTGCAGATGGAAAAGGAGCTGTTCTGTTCTTTTCTTACCCCCAAAGTTAACATGTTTTAAAACAGCCCAGAACATTTATCGACCCGCTTGCTACACATACCTCTGTTGTACGCTGATTTCTTTTTCTTCTCCCAAATAGAAACCTGTACAGTAAATGTTGATGTACATAACTTTTTTGTCTTAAAAAGAAGCAAAAGATCACTGTAAATCTTTTGACCATTCTATTGTAGTTTTATCTAAAAAGGAAAAAAAAAAAAGTTTAAAAAAATGTAATTTTTTTTTGTTTTTGTTTTTCTCTCATGCTTGTCCAAAAAAGGAAAAAAAGTTTCCAGCCCTGGATATTTTTTTGTAAAACACTGTATAGGTTTGGATACAGTTCGAAAGGAGGCTTTATTGAGGGGGTTCGCTCGGATGGACGGAAACCACAACCACGACTCTTTGGACCACCACGACCACCCAAAGTGGACTCCAGGTTGGTATCGCACTTTGCGGTGCATCGGTGATCTGACACCAGTGCTTCTCAGGTACCGGTAAAAAGATCACCCTTTACGGTAACGCTGAAGCTGTACGGTCACTGCAGGGATTAGCACGGAACACAAAGTGGACCCTATCGGTAACGGCCACGCTAATCCCTTCTGTTCAGCGTGGCGTCGCTGTCACGAGTGTCCCGCCTACTTTATGTCTCGGATTAAAAGAAACGGTTGAGTTTTGCCGCTTGCTTTTCCTGGTGTGGTCGAGGCTCTCGATGTCACGGTGGCGAGCGAGCGCCGGATAGTTTAGACGGCTACAGCAAGAAAATGTTCCGATATAAGTTGTGTACGTACCTGTGATTGTGCGATGCCTAAAGTGAATTCTCTGGTTCATTCGGAGGGCTAAACAAAATAAAATCTTTTGTTCTAGATACTGTTTG